CGGCGGCGAGTAACCGGCGTAGTAGGCGGGCGTCGGCGGCAGCGCTGTCAGCTTACTTACTGCTAGCCTTGTCTCACCTTAGCGTGCAGGTTAGCGCCCAGACTATATCTCACTTAATATCAGGTGCGAATGAGGTCAAATACCCGCTCATTCTCACTTTAGCGGGTGGGTTAATTGTCTTCTCAACTGTGTGCAACTCAACTCAACTCAGTTTGGGGGTTGTTTTCTAGGCTCTCACTGCTTCACCTTGGCTTTTCAGCCTTCCAGCTTTCGCCTTGTCATGCCACTCGTCTCCTTGTCTCACTTTAATGAGCGGGTTTGCACCCAGACTATATGACGCTCACTTTAGCGGGTGGGGTTAGTCTTTTCAACTGTGTGCAACTTGTTTCTCGTTAACTATGTGCAACTCAATTGAGTGTGGAGCTTGCTTCCTAGGCTCTCGAGTATCTCACATTGACTTTCCAGTTCACCTTGACATGCCACTTGTCACTTTGACTCCATATAGCTTACCTTAGCATGTGGGTTGGCAGCGGGCGCATCGGCGCGCCGGCGGCCAGCAACCGGCGTAGTAGGCGGGCGTCGGCGGCAGCGCTGTCAGCTTACTTACTGCTAGCCTTGTTACGCCACTTGTCTCCTTGTCTTACCTTAGCGTGCATATTAGCGCCCAGACTATATCTCACTAAACATCAGGTGCGAATGGGGTGAAATACCCGCTCATTCTCACTTTAGCGGGTGGGTTAATTGTCTTCTCAACTTTGAGCAACTCAACTTAGCGAGCAAGTTGGTACCTTGGGAAAAAGCGATTGATGGTCTCTTTACTTCCGTGTGTCACTTCATATCGGTTCTGAACAGCTCACTTGCTTGGACTGTGACTGATCTGCCTTGGCTTTGTCTCACTTTGGCGTGATATTGCAAGTTGTCTCCTTGACTCTTGAGCTGCTGACCTTGGCTTGAGAGTAGTCTCCTTGCCTTTGTGTCCCACTTTTACTGTGTGTTTCACCTTAGCGTGCGGGTTGGCAGCTGTTGATCCGGCTCTCCTTACAGTTAGTGTTGACTCCATATGAAGCTCGGTCTGTGAGCACGTAGAATTTTGTCCAATGAACTCAAGCTATACCCATCCTTATCGCTCGCGCGTAATTATATTGCTGTCGCGACTGTGCGACGGGCGGCCGCAGTGAGTGTGCGAGCGCGACAGCAACATAATTACGCGCGAGCGATAAGGATTCATTAGGCTTGGGGTCATTGGTCAAAATTCTACGTGCTTGCAGACCAGACTATAACTTACCTTAGCGTGTGGGTTGGCAGCGGGCGCGTCGGCTCTCGCGCCGGCGGCCAGCAGCCGGCGTAGTAGACGGGCGTCGGCGGCGGCGACGGCGCGCGCCACGCAGCTGTCGGCGCCGACGCGCCGGTCCAACGCTACCGGCCGCACGCGCTGGCTGCCCGGGCCGCTGTCCTGCACACAATCAAAGTAATTCACTAGCTGAATGACGCCGTATTTTTTACCACCAGAAAACAATTAGAGCATGTGAATTAAAGCTTCTTTAGTATGACTCCAAAAATTTACAATAAATTACCACAGACACTAAAAGACACAAATATTCAGATAAATTGTAAGATTCTTGACTTTTTTTATGTTTAAATGTTTATGAAATTGTTACTGATTGGACATTACTAAATTACTAACTTACTTTTTATTTTATTAAATTTATACTAACCTAATACGACTCAATGATGTTATGTAAATTTGTACGCCGACCTTGGGCCAAACATAGTGATACCGACTACTTAATTTTTAACACCTGTAATATGTAATTTACCTATGTTCCACGAATAAACGAATTTTGATTATTTTGATTTTGATGCCGAGTCACGATCGCATCGGATCGATGAGATGATTCCACCCGATCCGGCGTCGAACAAGACTGAAACCGGATCATCAAAACATGTGCTTGCTGATCCTGACCCCTTCTACTCTTCCTGTAGATGTCGTAAACGACGATTACACGACAAATATACGAAACATCAGGCCTCCTCACTTCATCTGGTTAAGGCCCAAAGTAAATTAATGTGGATGCAAGCAGAATCTAAAAATGACCTAATAATGATGACGATACAAGTGATGAGATATTTTTTTTTAAGTCCCGTTGGATCATCGCGGTAAGCTAAATATGCTTGTATCACGATTCACGAGTGAGCTCGCCACAATAGTCGAGCGGCGGCAGGGACCGAACCCGCGTTCCCCGGATCACGAGTCGGCCAGTCCGACCCCTTCACCGTTCTTAAGGCTTGGTATTTCTGCTAAAGTAGGTATTTCGCGCTGTCAAAATCTGCGCGCGCAATTGTTCGCCGAAACCAGCGCGCCAAAGAGCTCCCGCCACAATTTCCAGCTACACAGTGTTGGTTAGGCTAGGTTGACTTCCTTCCGTTCAAGCGTCACACTCACAGCACTTTCTAATACAAATTATATCCAAGTGATACAAATTAAAACAACTTTCAGAATTTTTGGGAATATATTTTAGAATCGAATAAATTAATATAAAATATAACTGCCAAAGTAAACACGGTTCAAAGAGGCGTGGCGTCACCCGACCTTCCGGAAGTTCCGCGTCGGCCAAAATAATTCCAAAAAGATTACGTCACCCGACCTATGGGAAGGTCATCGGGAGCTTGAGCGATTGGAAAAACATTTTATGATCAGTTACTCGTAGTAGCGATTATTTAGAGCTTGGATAATAAATTATAGTTGTTGCAATTTACGAAACTTTGCATGTGGTTAATTACATTAATCAGTACACGCATCAATTTTGTTCAGTCTTTTTGTTTATTAATAAATAAAAATATCATACTAAAATTGCATACATATTTGTTTGTATTGATCTGGGTGTTTTCTTTCCATAATTTATGTATAACGTATGTATCGAAAATCACTATGAGCATCACACGTTGAGATTTCACTTGACATTGATTGCAATCTGACATGGAGTTTTCAAACACTTGTAAAAATAAAAAGTAATTAAATCAAAAGCAGTAAGTGTCTAGTATTGATATCAACTTCGAAGCAAATGACTCCCAAAATAATTTTCTACCCATTTTACACGTTTGTCATGAATTATAATATTAAGGAATTGTGAAGCAAAATTTCAAGTAGATTGAACCAAAAAATCACTTTGTCCCATACAAACTTTGCCCCCTTTTTCACCCCCTTCATTTCATGACCCCATTTCGGAAAATCGGATGCCTACGTCATACAAAGAACACACCTTCTAACTTTCAGGTCTCTACGATATCCGTCAGTCATTTAGGACAAAGCATTTTTATTAGTTGTCCAATACTCTATCGTTCCAGGTATGTCATTGACAGGAGGGCGCTACTATCTTAATGGGTTATTTATAAATGCTAAATAGTAAATATTAGTTTGGATTGTGAAATATCCTATCCTACTAATATTATGAAGGCGAAAGTTTGGATGTCTGGATGTCATAATGTCTGGATGTCTGGATGTTTGTTACTCTTTCACGCAAAAACTTCTTAACGGATTTTGTTGAAACTTTACAGTATAATTGTTTATAACCCAGATTAACATATAAGCTAACTTATGATGATATGTGACAAATAAATAAGACGTGTCTAAAAAGCGCCATCTATCTATCGTCATTGGTTAAAATCTACAGCGCTGGACAAACTACTGTATGACGTTCGTAAATATTCATTCGGGGGAAGCCGTGAAACGCCATCTATGAACATGATATCTAACGAGAGTAAAACGAGGTCCACGCGAACGAAGTCGCGGGCGGCCGCTAGTTTATAATAGGTAGCTTTCCCTCCGCAACCTTATTGGTATTCCATGTATGTGTCTTTTAACTGATTTCTGTTAAAATAAAATTCATAAAATTCATTTATTTTTGCAAATAGGCTTTAAAAAAGCGCTTTTACACGTCCCAATATTAACCCTACCACTGCTTCGGGACAATAAATGGGCCAGTGCTGAGAAGAAGCAGCGCAAGAAACTCAGTCACTATTTAAACATTTCATGTAAAATTTGTTCAGTTATATCTCCATTTACATCTGCATCTGTAAACAAGGGTTCATGTTCTCCAGCCCAGATGCCGAGTAAACAGAATCGTCTTTCAGTGACGTGCAGCTGCCCCTATATTTGACCCACTGACCTAAAATTTTATTATTTATTGGTATCAGTGTGCTCTTCTAAAGAGTGTAAGACGATTGTATGTAGGTACTATTAAAATGTAATTTTAACTCATTGGTTTTGTCTCATATTTGAGGAATGTACTATGTATCATGAGTAGAATCTTCGTTTAAAAGGATGCGAACCATTTAAATTTCAATAGGTAGACAAAATTGATAATTCTTAATTATCAAACATTTTAGCTTTCTCCAGTAACACTGATATTATTATACTGTGACTCATCAAAGTCATCATTGTCAAAAATATTGACAAATCGCGAACTGTCACGGCCAACAAACTGACACGCATCCGTCCTCCGTAAGCGCCACCGCGCGACTGATTGAGATTGTCCAAGCCGTCATGGACGATTTTTTCCACATTTTTTAACATAGTAACTAAATAAGACGCAATATAAAAATTTCATCCGTTAAAAGCCCTCAAGTTATTTCTGAACTTTAGTTTAGTAAAAGATTTAGAATCTCAAATCGCTTATTTTAAAAATAAAACCATAAATAGAAAACGAATAGAGGTAACTTTGGGAATTTATTCTATCGAGTCAACTTCATCAAATCGTGTTTCCATCCGTTAATAGCCCTAGAAAATATCCTCAACTATGCCCAATAAAAATCTTAGCCTTTAATTTTACTGTTTAGTACCTCAAAAATGAAAAATGAAAACCTCATTTTCGCCATTTTCTCTGCTACCCGGCCTTAATAAATAATACGTTCTATTTTATTCTTTTTTGTCTCCTTGAGAAGGAAAGGGTAGACTGCTGCCATAGTTGCTTATAAATCAGCTAAATCAAGTATAAACTCACCTGCTTGCTGCCGCCGCCGGTGAGCTTGGTGACGATGGCGTGGATGCCGAGCGAGATGCCGCGCTGTGGCGACAGCACCCGAGCCGCCTCCACCGCCGGCGCCGGCGGGCTCTGTGGACAAACAACCGGGTGACAATGGCTGACGGTCAACACACGATATGAAAAGATATGGACAATGGCCGTTTAGTGGTTCAGAACGGACTACTATGCCGAGAGGTCCCGGGTTCGATTCCCGGCCCGGACAGAAATTGAAATGATGAATTTTAATTTCTGTGACGGGTCTGGGTGTAAATATGTATAATATGTGTGTATTTAATAATAAAAAAAGGTATATAAGTAGTATATCCGATAAGCTAGCACCCATAACACAAGCACTGAGTTGCTTACTTTGGGGCTAGCTGGCGCTGTGTAAATTGTCCAAAGGTTTATCATTTATTATTAATTAAAAAGTCGGAACAGTTTGATTGACTTAGATCACACTGAGAAAATAAATACCACCGCGATCTACATGACACATAGTTCCATCTATCGGCAGCGTATGGAACTAAGTCTCTCACAGTAGCAGCAATGTTAGAATTAACGCCATCTCTCAGCAGACTCTGGAAGTAAATCGTTTCTCACCGTAGCAGCAGCGTCGGCAGGCGGCACGGGCTCGTACGCCACGCTATAGTTCAGTAGAACTTCTACTACAGGCATGCTGCCGAGCGAGCACGCGATGTAAAACCGATCCTAAAATGGACCTAAGTCTCACCGTAGCAGCAATGTCAGATTTAACCCCATCTCTCGGTAGACTCAGGAAGTAAATCGTCCATCTATCGGCAGCGTGTGGAACTAAGTCTCTCACCGTAGCAGCAGCGTCAGCCGGCGGCACGTAAGTCTCACCGTAGCAGCACTATCAGATTTAACGCCATCTTTCGGCAGACTCTGGAAGTAAATTGTCTCTCACCGTAGCAGCAGCATTGGCTCGCAAGCCACGTTATAGTTCAACAACACTTCAACTACAGGCATGCTGCCGAACAAGCCACTTGTCACAGCGCCATCTCTGAGTAACCTGTGGAACCAAGTACTCACCGTAGCAGCAGCAGGCTATTGAGCGAGCAAGCTTTATACAGCGCCATCTATCGGCAGCGTATGGAACTTAGTTTCACCGGAGCAGAAATGTTAGATTTAACGCCATCTTTTGGCAGCGAGTGGAACTAAGTCTCTCACCGTAGCAGCAGTGTCAGCTGGTGGTACGGGCTCACACGCCGCGCTGTAGTTCAGTAGAACTTCTACTACAGGCATGCTTCCGAGCGAGCAGGCGATGTATAGCGCCATCTATCGGCGGCGTATGGAACTTAGTTTCACCGGAGCAGTAATGTCAGATTTAACGCCATCTCTCGGCAGACTCTGGAAGTAAATCGTCACTTACTGTAGCAGCAGAATCGGCAGGCGGCACTGGCTCGCACGCCACGCTATAGTTCAGCAGCACTTCTACCACAGGCATGCTGCCGAGCGAGCAGGCGATGTAGAGAGCCGTCTGCCCGCTGACGTCGGATGCGTTCACGTCGAACGCTGCCTTGTACTGCCACTTGCCGCTCTCGTCGCTAGGAAAAGAAATAAATTCTTTTATTTTCTGCTTTAAAAGGCGGTTTACTTGCAGGCGTTTTTTATGCAGAACAAGAGCGCTTTCACATTAGGGCGTTAGTAGCGCGACTTCAGCGCGGCAGCGGCGTTTTTATAATGTGAAGGCATGCATGTCACATAGTCTGAAATTTTCGGCAGCGCGTCTGTCGCGCGTTTGTCGCGCTGCTAAATCGCCTAAATGTGAAAGCGCTCCAAGGCAGGTATTTGACCGCGATCGCACTTGATGTTAAGTAGACTATTCAGCGTAATAGGCCATAAGAGCCGGCATCTGCACTTATATTGGCCTTTAATTACCTCCTTTCCATAACTTGTGCTCTACCCGAGTTGCCTAGAAGATATACCAACTTCACCATCATTTCAGCCACAGGACGTCCACTGCTGAACGTAGGCCTCACCCAATGACTTTCACATCGCACGGTTGGTAGCGGCCTGCATCCAGCGCCTTCCTGCTACCTTTATCAGGTCGTCGGTCCACCTTGTGGATGGACGTCCGACGCTGCGTTTTCCGTTACGCCAACTTGTTGCGTTGAAATTTTTCAGTTTTGCTTCGCATACTGTTCTTACCGCGTAATGTTCTCTTTCTTTTCAAAAATAAAGGAATGTTTTCTTTGAGTAAAACTTTCTATCTACTGTGATTGATGTATTAAGAGTGCTTTCCCTCCAGGTGGCATTACAAAATTCCACCCTGTATGTGAATATAGGGGCAGTTTTGTCGATAAAATTGACATAATAACATCGCCTTAAATTATCGCTAGCCCTATCCCAAACACACTGTATACATACTTTTTATTGCATACCACTCTACACAATAAAATACCAGTTCAAAGAACACAACTTCCATCCTACCCAGGGATTTTACAACACAACGCGTCATCAAGATAAGTAGGCATCCACTCACGTGTAAGTGTTGAGCACGTCCTCAGGGTAGGGATGTTCAAGCAGCAGCGCGACCAGCGGCGCGTGCGCTCCGATGCATGCCGCGTGTAACGGCAGCCATTTCTCCACCGTCTCTTGCTGGAACAACATAGAATCGTCATCAGGTCATTGGTCTTCAGTGCAGGAGCACCACCTCAACGTAGAAACGTCATCAGAGGGCCTAGTGTAAGTTTACATCCTAGTGTCAAAAAATGACATTAAATGTATGACGGATTGTACAGCGCCCCTAAAGCCCGGTTTGTGATCACGTAGAATTTTGTGCTCGCTCGCGCGTAATTATGTTGCTGTCGCGCTCGCACACTCACTGCGGGCGCCCGTCGCACAGTCGCGACAGCAATACAATTACGCGCGAGCGATAAGGATGGGTAGTTTGGGGTCATTGGACAAAATTCTACGTGCTCACGGACCAGACTATAGCGGAAATGTTCAAAAACTTAAATTGTCATATGTAAGCGCGTTTGATGTAAACTCACACTCAGCCCACAGGTCATTTGGTCTCCATTGAAGGAGCACCACCCTCTTTAATTTTACCAAAGTAAAAGTAGACCTATTCTACTCTGCTCGAACCTCATAATATTGGACCAATATAACATGACTCTAACTCACGTCTGAGGCATTTGACCAGCATTTGTGCAGATTTAGGAAAGTACTGACGACGGCACGTCAAGGTAACCACTGCGGGTTCTTGTGCAGTTGTAATAGAGACGAGTTTGCAAAAAAATGGGTAACCTGATGTGCTGTCGTGTGTACAACAGCCATATTTTTGCAATCTCCAGCTGCTGTCTCCTGCTGCAAGAGCTACCGACCTGTGCGACGCGGGCGAAATGCTGCCTAATTGCGTAAATAAACTAGGAGCTACCGAAAGTGCTGCAGCACCAATCCCCAGACTAAACTAATTTACGTGCTGCTGATAATCACGCAAATAAGCCTCACTTGGGAAGGAACTGCGAGTTATTTTCTTTCGCGGCTCCACCTCAGAATGTTTCTCTACCAGAGCAAGCGCCACCCGTCTTCAGGGCAGGTTATATACCTCCCCTTAGTTCTCCGCTAACCGTCTCCACGGATATGTCTTTAGCGGCCACCAAACAACCCCTTATTTATATTACCTGTGCAGCGCGGGGGAAGTGCTGTAGAAGCAACTTGGCAATGTCCAGGTGGCCGTGGTAGGCGGCGGCGTACAGAGGCCCGTAGCGCGTGACCGGGTGCGCTCGCCCGTCCGCCCCTGCTTCTAGTAACGCCGCTACCACGGCTGTGTGGCCCGCTTCTGACGCTCTGGATGATAAATTAAGATGTTTTAATAGGATCGGATTGTGGAATAACATTTAAGACTTTTTCTCTTATTATCTGGCACACACAATTAACCACTAAAGATGGTTAACAGTTCTTTCACATTTAGGCGATTTTAGCAGTGTGACACTCCTGATGACTTCATACTATACGACAGCGTGGTATCAGCGTTTTTATGGTATGAATGCAGGCATCCGCTGCTGCCGCGCTTCTGTCGCGCTTCTGACGTCTAAGAATGGGAAAATTGGAGGACACGGTAAGCTGTCAACGGTCGTCTGTATCAGCTCAATTTGACATCAAGATAGAGAGAAAAGACCTGTCTTTTTTTGTGTGACAGTAGGTTTTACCGGAACAATTTCCACCTCTCGTTACAACTCCAGCCCCCTTAGCTATATTTTGTTGTTTTTTTTGTATGTAGTAACTTCGCTTCGTGATTCTAAATAACTACTGTCAGGAATGGCATTTGTTTAGGGGGCTGTATATCCAGGATCTACACATGAAGACCCTAGAATTTAAACTCCATACCGCCACGTTATAAGCAGTACAGCAATTCCAACTCACACATAAAGCAGCGTGTTGGCGCCGCCCGGCGTCAGGTTGACGATCAGCCCCGCGTTGTTGCCCAAGGTTGCCAGACGAGTCTTCAGTCCCTGTACATCTCCTCGCGAGACCAGCTCCCGAAGCGCCGCGTGCTGCGAGAGGCGCTCACGTTCTAGGGCGTCTGGGGACAATTCAAATTCTTTATTAGTATGTAGATAGAATCATTGGGGAGGCCTATGTACAGCAGTGGACGTCCTGTGGCTGAAATTGATAGTGATATAGGTAGACCCTTTGCAGTTAAATGCGTTCTAAACATTGCTAGCCCTACTACCACTTCGGGACAACATATCGCCTCGTTTTGAGAAGACGTAGCAATGGTGGGAGGCATATTGTAAACGTTCCAACAAGCACTACTGGTGAGGAAAATCTTGCCGCTCGCCAGTGGTAATTTTCTAGCGATTTTATCCCGAACCGATATTCCATACAGCCGTCAAGTGAAGACTAAAATGTCATCACAAATGTCTCTTGAGTGTACTTACCTCCACATGTCGGCGACGTCGTCAGAATTGTGTTGTTTACTAGTTGTCTATGCAGCAGTTAATGACTAAATGACTTCCATCCATCCATTAGTGTACCTACCTCCAGTATCCCACCGGTCAGCGACGCCGTCAGACTAGTGTTGTTTATTCTATAGTCCACGCAACAGTTGATATCATCACAAGCGTCTCTTGAATACCTGGGTGGTTACTCCAAAGTCTCGAATGTTGCCATCTCTCTCACGCAAAGAGAGATGCCAACATAAGCAAATTTGACAGAAAGACCCGAAACTAAGTACCCTGTAGCTGAATGTACCCACCTCCAGTAGCCCACGGGTCGGCGACATCATCCACGAAGTAATGCGTGGCGTCGTATGCAGCATCAGGCTCGGTCTCCGCTCGCGAGCGCTTGAGTGACGTCACTGATTGCGCTCGCGAGCGCGCGCGCGCCTCGTGCGCCGCCTCGCGGAAGCGTTGCAGCATTATGCGTTATTTTTCATTGGTTCGTGGATCACTACCAGCACTGTTTTTATATTTGTTAAAACAAAGTCATATTTGAAGTGGTATGGTTACAGGTTTTCTGTATTAGAGAGTAGATAGAATAATTAAATATCAATTATCCATAAAGTTTCTTACTGTCGCTATGATCAGTAGTAGTTCCCAGTAACGCTGCTGCCCAGGGAATGTGCAGATAAGCAAGCGACTTGGTACGGCATGTTTATTTATTTTAATTACCTACACAGCTTTTAGACCTTATTAATTACGTAATTAAATAGTTATGTTGTTTTATTTTAGAATGCCGATAATTGTCTTTAACCTAACCTCGCATTAAGACAATCAGACAATAGCCATTCATCCACAATAACAGTTCGCTATAGTGATTTCACACTTCATCTCACAAGCATGCGCGTACGCTTGCCCAACTGCCTTGGTTGCGATCGTAGAGCACAGAGCAGATGGATTCAGTGGGTTTAAAATTTAAATCCTGAAGATGTAACTTGAGACACGAAAAGTAATTTTACTTCGTACAAACTTAATTGATTAAAGTTATGCTGCTTCTTCTCAGCACTGGCCCATTTATTGTCCCGAATCAGTGGTAGGGTTAAAAGTGCTGGGACGTGTAAAAGTGCTTTTTAGAGGCCTATTTGCAAAAACATTTGAGTTTTTTTATGAGTTTTATGTTTACCTATTTGTTTTGTAAATAACCTAACTTAACATCAGGTGCTTTTGTTCTGCATCAAGTCAAAAAGAAAATATATTTTACGTACGTGACACAGTCAAAAAATGATACTCTAATGCCATTCTCGGTTAAACAAAAAACTGTAACCGAACTATTTGCAATTTTGCCATTCCCAAACAGACTAGAATAATCAACCAACTGGGCAGGGCACATAGTACGCAGAACTGACGGCCGATGGGGCAGAAAGGTTCTGGAATGGAGGCTGCGTACCGGAAAACGCAGCGTGGGACGTCCATCTACAAGGTGGACCGACGACATCGTAAAGGTAGCAGGGAAGCGCTGGACGCAGGCCGCTACCAATCGATCAACATGGAAAGCATTGGGGGAGGCCTATGTTCAGCAGTGGACGTCCTATGGCTGAAATGATGAATCAACCAACTGACTAGAATTGAACGCTGCAGCAAGAACGCATTCTTTTGCAGTTTTGATGCGTCTATGCCAGCTGCACTAAGAGACATCCAATTTATACATGGCAGACTACAAACGCCTAAGCACTGAGATTACTGCAACGGCATGCGTTGTGGCTCTGCTATCCGCTTGCATACGACACGGCCTGTTTACCGCGACAGGGATATATGGGCTTATGTGTGGATTTACACTGTTGCAGTGTAAACTAAGAATACCGTATTCAGCAAATTAAAACTATGTTTTTGGTGGTAAAGCTTGTTCTAACTCTTGCTGGCTGTCTACGATCATCTTATCAAAGTCTGCCGCTATAACAATAATGTTAACAGCATTGTTTTGTTTTAGCAGTTTGAGGTAGATAGGTACATACTCGTAAGATAGGCAGCTTCTTTTGGTTGAGGATTCCGGAATTTCCGGATGAAGCTCGCTTCCTCCTTCGGGATGATCATCACTTTCCATCAAGTAAGATAAGGTCAAGAATTTCCCCATTTTGTGGATAAAAACGTGTCTCGTGATTCTTTTACCCTACCAGCGCTTCGAGACTAATATTAGGCAAATGCTGAGAAGAAGCGCCGCAACAAACTAACCCCCTTACTAATAAAAAGTTACACAGTTGTTGAACACTGTTTTAAAATGACATTTCCATACTAAACGTCACTTTAAAACACTGTTCAACAGGCGAGTAGGGGAGACCTAGGAGAGTTGTGACAATTTTTACTCTAGGAGCCATATCTCGCTCAAAAAACATTCTACAGCTATGAATCATACAAATTAATGTAACGCCGTTCCTTCTGTTTTTAAAACAATCACCAAAGTTAACTAAAGTATTAGGGTTTCTAAGAAAATCACCAAAATCTTAGACCACTCCCTCTGTCACAACTCTCCTAGCACCGAGGTAAGTTGTGACAGNTAGTTTTTAATATTATGTGGTTTTACTAAATGTATAGAAGCTGGAAAAATTTAATTTTCGGATAGATCCAGTTTATTCTGTAACCTTTTATTGGTACCGTTTAAAAGAGCTTGTAAAGCACTTTCAGAATCAGTAATCAGTTTCTCGATATCTTGTATAGTTTAGAAATAATCGAGTGAGATCACTTAACGTTTCCACCCTGTATAGATCAGCGGCTGCCCGCGATTTCGTACGCGTGGATCCCGTTTTATCCCCAAGGGCGGAATTTCGTAAAACCCTTTCTTAGCGGATGCCTACGTCATAATATCTACCTGCATGCCAAACAGCCCGATCCGTCCAGTGGTTTGGGCTGTGCGTTGATAGATCACTATGTCAGTCAGTCAGTCACCTTTGAGTTTGATAGATTAAGAGCGTATACGTGGATATTTACCAGACCCACAAAAGCTATTTAATAAAAAAACACTGTTATGTAAAATATTCAAAGTGAATTTAGTGCAGATAAACAACCTAATTTCCACACGACGAAAATGCTCAAACTGGTTACTGTTTTGCATGTTAATGTAAATAAATTTAAGTCGCAAGATCACTTCTATCACAACAAGTGCTACTGAGGATTCCATAGTGTTGCTTGATGAACTAAATACAGTTTTTCACAAGCATAACTGGTCATCACACAATGATTGGCCATCCGGACTACGCTGCAACCGTTGTTGGTCACATAACAGCGCTAATTGTTAGATGAAGGTCATTAATTCATCTGTGTCTCTGTATGGTAGGATGTTTGTTAACTCTAAATTTTTTACTGTTGAGTTTCACTTAATTTAATTAATTTACATTAGTTTTTTTACCTAGTCACATTTATTTTTAGATAAGATTCGTATAAAATCACCTGTCACAGGTAGAAACCGCACGAACGACTTTTTTGCAATAGGGGCTACAGCTCTAATCTGAAGCAGTTGTCTTTTTGATCGACTTCGAAAAAGGAGGTGTTATGTTCGTCTGCATGTATATTTTTATAAGAAAACTAACTGACCCAGCAAATATTGTTTTGCACCTAGGTGACCTAGACCGAGGGGTAATAGCTTAACTTAACAATGTGACGTTATGTTGTGCATTTTTTGTTATTATAAGTTGCTCGCACTCTGCTTAACTTTCGATCAACATTAGGCTACTGTACTTTTTTACTGTGTAAGTTCATATGTATCAATTAATGCTGTTTGTTTTCTTAATAAAGAAAAATAAATAAAATGAAATAGTTTACGTCCTATTCTCAGACCTATGGAATATACACACAAAATTTCATAAGAATCGTTTCTAGTCAAAAAGCTTTTTGTAATAAAAGAGTAACTTATTATATTAATTCATTTCAAAGTTATTATATTAAAGTCTTTATGCACTTGTCTTATGTACTGTCAACTAAAATTTTGGCCCAAAGGTTAACTGGAGGAGAATACCATATTATAGCATTAGTTTTGCCTTTTGTACTCTGTTATTATGTGCAGTAAATTTTTAAATAATTAAAAGATTCTCATTCAGAAGTCGCTAAAGAAGAGCCATATTATGTGAGCTATATTTTGTTGTGTACATTGTTACTATTGTTAATTCACTATTCTATAAAACTATAAACCTGTTGTTTTGTTTCCATAACGTTATCAGAACAAGTATTTTAACTATAACTGCACTTTACACTTCATTTACTGGGCATTTCACTAACAAAATCGCTTTTTAGTCAACTTGTAACAACACACACTTCGCGAACTCGTATATTTACTTTACGTAACGCGACGCGCGTTCGCCACCACGGTTAGTGTCATACTGCCGCGCGATAGTGACGTTGTGACAGTCGTTGATGACGGTGTCGATAAAGTGTAGTTTATATCGACATAATGACCTACGGTTAAGATAGCTTATCTGCCATCTAGAGGAATGATAGAATGCTACAAGTAATTATTAGAATTTGGATAAGAATTATGAATCAGTTCCCTTTGTTTTGAGTCGGAAGCCACAATAGCTGAACGGTGAAGAGATCAGGCTGATCGACTCGACATTCGAGGAACGCGGGTTCGAACCCCGCCTCACTCGACTATTGTGGTGAGCCCACTCGTAATACAAGCATATTAAACTTACCACGGACTAAGTATTAGTAATGTATGGTTAGTTTTTAAGTTATTATTAAGCCTACCTAGATTAAGTTATGCTATCGCATTTGGTTTTAAGTACCTGTAAAGATAGTGATAATGTGTGTGGAAATAAATAAATAAATAAATAATTTGTACTGCACAAAATTTATTTAAAAAAATCTACATACAGCAAGCAAAATACATAAAAAAATGACTGGACCTTTAGCTAGTGATTTTTGATAATTTTCTAAAATATCGATAACTTAGCGGGCATCACTAGCGAAGCGAGTCACAGTCGGCGCGCGCGCAGGTGATCGAGATAACCATAATGATGTGCTGTAAACGGTGAAATTGCACATCTATTGTCCAAATCACTCATTTGCATACGTGGATAGAAAGTTCGCAAAATTTGACGATATAATTATTACTATAGTGAATATTAAATATGTTTAAAAGAACGAATTTAAAGAAGAAATAAAAATATAATCTGAAAGAGCATGCGAACAAGGTTTCCACCAAAGCGGAGAAGTGTGTTGAATAACGGCTTTAACCGCCTCTGTGGTCTAGTGGTAAGACCACCTGCTTCAGACGCAGAGGTCCGGGTTCGATTCCCAGTGGGGGCAGATTTTTCTGTTCGGTTTGGTTGGTGGTAGGGCTTGTTCTAAGTCCGCCTGGCTAACTACCACCATCTTACCAAAGTCTGTCGTCATAACAACAATGTTAACATTGTTGTGTTCCGGCAGTTAGAGGTAAGATAGCCAGTTCCTCCGTGGTTGAGGATTCCGGGTGAAGCTCGCTTCAACCTTCGGCCTGATCATCACTTACCATAAGGTGAGATACAGGCCAAGAGCTTCCTCGTTGTGGATAAAAAAAACAGCACAGCTCCAGATTACTATACGTCTAGTGCATAACTCAGTGCCTAGGTATGGAAGAGGCACGAGAGGGTGTTTTTTGTAACGTCTAATGTCAGCCAGACTTTAGATTTGTATGCTTCGTCACGTCACAATATGTCAAAATAGCTTCCGCAGAATAACAGGCGTCATGTTCTGGGTTTTACTACTTCAGACTCTTCAGAGCATGACCACGCATGACACATGCTGAGCGGTGGCCATTTTTGGCACTAACTACCTTGTACTTATTCAAATTGTGTTTTTTTTTAAGTTAGTGGAACCAAAATAATGTTTTTCTTTCTTTCAAAATCACCCCTCCCGTGCCGCTCCCATACCTCAGGCACTGCCTGAGTTAAGCGCTAGACGTATCTAAATATATGTGGGATCTTGTGAACGAAATATGAACACTTGATTTTGGAAAATATCGTCTTTTATTTGAAAACCACACGCTCGTCTTTGCAGTAAAAATCAGAGTCCCGCCATCTTAGATTATTTGAATTTATATCCATTCATTCCATTCTTTCATTCATTCAAAGCTTTCACTCACTCATCAACGTTCCATTTCCCACATATGTATATATAACTCAAAGGTGACTGACTGACTGGCATAGTGATCTATCAACGCACAGCCCAAACCACTGGACGGATCGGGCTGAAATTTGGCATGCAGGTAGATGTTATGACGTAGGCATCCGCTAAGAAAGGATTTTACGACTCTACCCCTAAAGGGGGTAAAACGCGTACGAAGTCGCGGGCGGCCGCTAGTAGTATATGAAACCGCAACCCACACGCCCCTGTGGCCACATAAGACGAGTGTACATTAAGTATACGGCATTACTGCGATTATGTAGTCTGCGGTCGCGGAATAGGAACTTATGTTCTTAGCATTTTTATGTGTATGCAAAAACGCGGTAAGGTCGTGGCTTTGTATGAGCGGAGATCATGAAAATTTTTGATGGTAGTGATAGTAAAAGCGACTAAGAAGAAAATAGCCCAAATATAAATACATTTTTGAATACATTTAGGTAGGACACCACTTAAAAGAAAGGAGTTGCAGCCGACATGAAAATGAGGCGAAACAATTGAAAATACAGTTGATGAATTGATATTTATAAAAATACATAAGTACAGTCGCGGAATGAAAAGGTTCGTCACCTTAGTGTCGGTTTTCGCTTGCACTAGGTACTGTAAGAGTCAAACCTGCCAACATAACAGTACCTACAAGAAACAGTGCTGCTAACATGACCCGTTATAATTCTTAAAGTACTGGTTCAAATTGAATGAAATTTGAAATATACCGTGTCTTTACAATGCCTGCATAGCTAATGAAAATTCAGCCTTCTAGTTTTATCCAGAACGAAGTTACAGGCGGTCGAAAATGGCCTGAATTGCTTCGAGAAAAGGATGGTACGGCCGTGCCGCTTTTTTGCTCGACTTGGTGGGGGCACTGCCGTGCCCCCAGATATTTTATTATTTTTTAGCTTCGTAGGGAGGGAAGGGGTAGACTGCTGCCATAGTTGCTTATAGTTCAGCTAGATCATGTATAAACTCACCTGCTTGCTGCCGCCGCCGGTGAGCTTGGTGACGATGGCGTGGATGCCGAGCGAGATGCCGCGCTGCGGCGACAGCACCCGAGCCGCCTCCACCGCCGGCGCCGGCGGGCTCTGTGGACAAACAACCGGGTGACAATGGCTGACGGTCAACACACGATATGAAAAGATATGGAAAATGACAATTAAAAAGTCGGAACAATTTGATTGACTTAGATCACACTGAGAAAAAAATGCCACCGCGATCTAAATGACACACAGTTCCATCTCTCGGCAGTGTGAGGAACTAAGTCTCTCACAGTAGCAGCAATGTCAGAATTAACGCCATCTTTTGGCAGACTCTGGAAGTAAATCGTCACTTACCGTAGCAGCAGCATCGGCCGGCGGCACGGGCTCACACGCCACGCTATAGTTGAGCAGAACTTCAAACACAGGCAGGCTGCCGAGCAAGCAGGCGATGTACAGCGCCATCTATCGGCAGCGTGTGGAACTAAGTCTCTCACCGAACCAGCACTATCAGATTTAACGCCATCTTTCGGCAGACTCTGGAAGTAAATCGTCTCTCACCGTAGCAGCAGCATCAGCCGGCGGCACGGGCTTACACGCCACGCTGCCTTCAACAGCACTTCACGCCTTCACGCCTGCGTTCAACAGCACTTCAACCACAGGCATGCTTCCGAGCGAGCAGGCGATGTATAGCACCGTCTATTGGCCGCGTGTGGAACTAAGTCTCACCGTAGCAGCAATGTCAGATTTAACGCCATCTCTCGGCAGACGCTGGAAGTAATCGTCTCTTACCGTAGCAGCAGCATCGGCCGGCGGCACTGGCTCGCACGCCACGCTATAGTTCAGCAGCACTTCAACCACAGGCATGCTGCCGAGCGAGCAGGCGATGTAAAGCCGATCCTAAAGACAGCGCCATCTCGCCAGGATGTGGACCTAAGTCTCACCGTAGCAGCAGCAGGCTATTGAGCAAGCAAGCTTTATACAGCGCCATCTATCGGCAGCGTATGGAACTTAGTTTCACCGGAGCAGCAATGTCAGATTTAACGCCATCTTTTGGCAGCGAGTGGAACTAAGTCTCTCACCGTAGCAGCAGCGTCAGCCGGCGGCACGGGCTCGCAAGCCACGCTATAGTTCAGCAGCACTTCAACCACAGGCAGGCTACCAAACAAGCAAAGGATATACGGCGCCATCTCTGGGTAACCTGTGGAACTAAGTACTCACCGTAGCACTAGCATTGAGCGGTAGCACAGGCTCACACGATGTAATGCCGATTCTAAAGATAGCGCCATCTCTCATCCGCGTGTGGAACTAAGTACTCACCGTAGCAGCAGCGTCTGCTGGCGGCACGGGCTCGCAAGCCACGCTATAGTTCAGCAGCACTTCTACTACAGGCATGCTTCCGAGCGAGCAGGCGATGTATAGTCAATCCTGAAGATAACGCCATCTATCGGCAGCGTGTGGAAGTAAGTCTCTCACAGTAGCAGCAATGTCAGAATTAACGCCATCTTTCGGCAGACTCTGGAAGTAAATCGTCTCTTACCGTAGCAGCAGCGTCGGCAGGCGGCACTGGCTCGCACGCCACGCTATAGTTCAGCAGCACTTCTACCACAGGCATGCTCCCGAGCGAGCAGGCGATGTAGAGAGCCGTCTGTCCGCTGACGTCGGATGCGTTCACGTCGAACGCAGCTTTGTACTGCCACTTGCCGCTTTCATCGCTGCGAAAAGAAATAAATACACAAGTCCTTTATTTTCTGCTTTAAAAGGCGGTTTTCTTGGAGGCGTTTTTTATACAGAACAAGAGCGCTTTCACATTAGGGTGTTAGTAGAGCGACTTCAGCGCGGCAGCGGCGTTTTTATAATGTGAAGGCATGCATCCGCTGTCACATAGTATGAAATTTAGTCACGGGCCTCTTCTTATGAACTTTGGCGCGCTTTATCTCTTTAAATTTTCATTAGTTTGAAAAAGTGAAAAATACGTGTAGAGTATTTTTTGATAAGTTAACAGACGGACTAATTAAAACTCTTGCTTTTTGACCCAGGAAACATCCCCATTGCTATAATAAAGTGACAGTGGCCGGGGCACATAACTCGTAGAGCTGATGGCCGTTGGGGCAGAAAAGTTTTCTAAGGTGCGACCATAGTTAGACCGGAAGAGGTAGGCAGGCCCCCCCCCACTATAATGTTAAGTTAATTCTTGGGGAGGCCTTTGTCCAGCTGTGGAGATCATTTGGCTGAAATGAACGAAGAAGATAAGTAAGCATCCACTAACGTGTAAGTATTAAGCACGTCCTCAGGGTAAGGATGTTCCAACAGCAGCGCGACCAGCGGCGCGTGCGCTCCGATGCACGCCGCGTGCAGCGGCAGCCATTTCTCCACCGTCTCTTGCTGGAACAACCAACATCATCATCATCGTTGGGTTATTTAAAGTCGCCGCACATTTCGTCCCTCGCATGACTAATTATCATATCTCAGTCTTTTGGCGATTTGAGTTAGGACTACAACTTTTTTCCTGCTTCCATTGTCTACGATTTTCTCTAACTCACGTATCTGTATGTACATTGGTTCTCAACTTATAGACACGTGTGTAGCTAACGTATCTAAACAATAACTTGAAAAAAATATGACTAAATGTCGCAAAACTAAATAAGAGAGTTAGTCATGTAAGGGACTATTTATCAACCCGGAAAGAGTCGTAAGCGTATAAACTCGAGGCGGTCAGTATTCTTTGTATGAAACTCCATACTATAACGCACACTTATCCGCACTGTAACGTAAACGCCTTGCCTCGCGAATGACAGCGCACAAAAAGCGAGGATAGCTCGCGAAAGGCGATACGGTATTGATCCCTTTCCGAGTTGATAAGTCTGCTATGAGCTTATGTCTCCACTGCAGGAGCACGGGGTTGTTTTGGCCTAGATTCTCCACGCTGGCCAGATGGAACCAAGACCAACTTGCGCAGCTTTAGCAAAGAACTGCAGCAGTATCCCCAGGTGACTGTTGATCAAGTTTATTGATCCTCAATTAAACCAAGAAATGATGGTCTGGAGACCTATTATAATCCCCAGGTCTTGGTGAATCAGCTTTTGCAAAGTTAAGCCAGCTTGTAGCTCTAACGATGGGAATTAAACTGATCTGGCTTTAGGCAAGTATTGCAGCAGTTAGCGAAATCACCACCAATCTCAGAGAGAAGTGAGCTTTAGATGCTGTAATGATAAGTCGTAGCACGTGACGGGCGCACGAGGGAGCCGCGTTGTCTCCAGGCTCCTACTGCTCATAAGTGCCACCAGTGGTCAAAATTGAATAAAATATTTTTGATTTTGGTTTGAATTTTTTTTGCAGGAACTTGGAGCCCGCCGTCTTCTGTTACATAGCTGGAGGGAGATACCAACCTGTGCAGCGCGAGGGAAGTGCTGTAACAGCAACTTGGCAATGTCCAGGTGGCCGTGGTAGGCGGACGCATACAGAGGCCCGTAGCGCGTGACCGGGTGCGCTCGCCCGTCCGCTCCTGCTTCTAGTAACGCCGCCACCACGGCTGTGTGGCCCGCTTCTGACGCTCTGGAAGATAAATTAAGATGTTTTAATAGGATCGGGATTTGAGATAACGTTTTATTAGTTTTCACGACTTTTTCTCTTCCTATCTGCCACAAGATCAACAAGCATCCACTAAAGATGGTTAAAAGTGGGACAAACACAATAAGTGTAAGATTTTCAGAAAAATGGGAAAATCACTTTGCGTAATATTGTTCCCTAGCTAGGAATTAGGATATAGCAGACTGGGTAGTTCCGATTGTCAAAAAAGAAATGCAGTTCTGTGATTCGGAGGACACGTTAATGGTCACCTGCATCGGCCCAGTCTGATACACAGGTAGAGACACTTTCACAGAACAATTTCCACCTCTTACTCCTACCATTGCTACTCCTGTATATCCAGGATCTACATCTGAAGGCCCAGGATTTTAACTTCTCAGACTATGCCCCGAACAATCTCTATCAGTCTATGACTCCAGACGTTTAAGATAGAATCAAATCGCGTCGCATGATTGTGAAAGCCGGCCCCGCGTAACGGCGAGGCAGAAGAAGAAGAAGTCTAGGTATGTATCTAACCCACCACCACCCATGGCCATACCAATATACTGGCCGAATCGCGGGAGGTGTGCGCGGAATTAGGGCTATCGTTTTAGCGCTCACCAGTTTGCGCCACTGTAGAGTAAGGTCCTGTCACTTGCTAGTAGCGAAGACAGTGGCACCAACTGGTGAGTGCTAAAGTGGTAGGAGACTATTTCATTTGCACTCATCAAGATGGCGCCACTGTAAAGTAAGGTCCTGTCAATCGCCAGGGGTACCAACTGTTAAGTACAAAAACGATAGCCCTCATGCGGCTGCCTATGGCAGATTGCACTCCACCGCGCCACACTTCTTGACTCCCTACAAGTCATTTATAGGTCTAGGTATATATCTATCTATTCCAACTCACACATATAGCAGCGTGTTGGCGCCGCCCGGCGTCAGATTGACAATCAGCCCCGCGTTGTTGCCCAAGGTTGCCAGACGAGTCTTCAGCCCCTGCACATCTCCTCTCGAGACCAGCTCCCGAAGCGCCGCGTGCTGCGAGAGGCGTTCGCGTTCGAGGGCATCTGGGGACAATATACATTCTTTATTAAATTCAAATTCAATCAATACATATCACAAGCTCGTTTAACAAATTAATTAGTATGTAGGCCTTTATTTCAGTGCGCTTCGTTCGTTCGTTTCAGCCAAATGACGTCCACTGCTGGACCAAGGCTTCCCCCAAGGATTTCCACAATGACCAGACCTGAAAGGACACTTAAAAGGTGCTAAATATTTCTTGCTCTACCACCACTTTGGGATAACATATCGGCTGGTTTTGAGAAGACGTAGCAATGGTGGGAGGCATATTGTAAACGTTCCAACAACCACTACTGGCGAGGAAAATCTGGCCGCTCGCCAGTGGTAATTTTCTGGCGATTTTATCCCGAACCGATAGGCCATACAGTCGTCAAGTGAAGACTAAAATGTCATCACAAATGTCTCCTGAGTGTACCTACCTCCACATGTCGGCGACGTCGTCAGAATTGTGTTGTTTACTAGTTGTCTATGCAGCAGTTGATGACTAAATTATCACAAGCGTCTCTTGAAGTCCTGGGTGGTTACTCCAAAGTCTCGAATGTTGCCATCTCTCTCACGCAAAGAGATATGCCAAAATAAGCAACATTGACAGAAAGACCCGAAACTACGTACCCTGTAGCTGAATGTACCCACCTCCAGTAGCCCACGGGTCAGCGACGTCGTCCACAAAGTAATGCGTGGCGTCGTAAGCAGCATCAGGCTCGGTCTCCGCTCGCGAGCGCTTGAGTGACGTCACCGACTGCGCTCGCGAGCGCGCGCGAGCCTCGTGCGCCGCCTCGCGGAAGCGTTGCAGCATTATGCGTTATTTTTCATTGGTTCTTGGGTCACTATTAGCACTGTTTATGTTAGTTTACAATAAAGCCATATTTGAAGTGGTATGGTTACAGGTTTTCTGTATTAGAGAATAGTAGAATAATTAAAGATCAGCCATTCGTGTTGTTTCCTATTTCTCCTGTCGCTATGTTCCACAGATCACAGAAACTAAAGGGAGGTGTGATAAGGGGGCGGGGCCGGTGTCGCAGCAATATGCTCAAAAACAGAACACATTTCTCGTGAAAGCAATGATGACAGCAGCGACGTCAAAATGTAAAAGGTTTACATTGCTTGCGTAGTACTAAAGATTATTCGAACGTTCAGTACTGTGTGATACTACTGTACGGTACTATGATCATTGTAGAAGTTCCTAGTAACGCTGCTGCCCAGGGAATGTGCGGTTAAACTAGCGACTTGGTACGGCAAGTTCATTTATTTATTTATTGATTTTAAAAAACCTCACGTAATTAAATAGTTATGTTGTTTTATTTTAGAATGCCGATAATTGTCTTTAATCTAACCCCGCATTAAGACAATCAGACAATAGCCATTCATCCACAATAACAGTTCGCTAGTGATTTCACACTTCATCTCACAAGCATGCGCGTACGCTTGCCCAACTGCCTTGGTTGCGATCGTGGAACACAGTGCAGATCGATTCAGTGCGTTTAGTCCCGCTCTCGAAAGGCAAAAGATGACGAATTTTCTGTTTGAGATTTTATAAACTATTGTAGAGGATATGCTATTTTTATTAGCATTAATTCATAGCTTCAAAACGATTCAAAAGAGAGCTTCCACATTATATGACCAACACACACACAATTTGACTATTAAGCTCGGCCATTACAGTAATGCCATGTTTTTCCGTTGGGAAATTACGTATACCTACAGGCCGATAAAAACGGCCAATGAGTTACATAGGAATCAGAAATGAGGAAATCCGTAGGAGAACCAGAGTGACTGACATAGCCCGCAGAATCGCTAAAATCAAGTGGCAGTGGGCGGGGCACATAGCTCGAAGAGCTGATGGCCGCTGGGTGGGGCAGGAAAGTTCTTGAGTGGCGACCACGAGCCGGAAGTGGTAGCGTGGGCAGGCCTCCCACTAGGTGGACCGACCATCTGGTGAGGGTCGCGGGAGGTGCCTGGATGCGAGCGGCGTAGGACCTGTCTTTGTGGAAATCCTTGGGGTAGGCCTTTGTCCCGCAGTGGCCGTCTTTTGGCTGAAACGAACGAACGAGTTACATAGGAAAACGAACGAGTTAAATTTCTCCCTGGCCACGAGTTATTGCCCTAAGATTGCAGTTGTTGCTGCAGTAATACCAATTTTATCTTCTGTTTGACTTCGGCTTTTCGGCCTAACACAGCCAGTCAACTGCAAAATTGATGCCCTTCTTTGCCGTTTGTAGCTACTATCATCATCTTATACTGTGGCTCTGCTATCAGCTTGCATACGACACGGCCTATTTACCGCGACAGGGATATATGGGCTTATACTGTTGCAAATACCGTATTCAGCAAATTAAAACTATGTTTTTGGTGGTAAAGCTTGTTCAAACTCTTGCTGGCTATCTACGACCGTCTTATCAAAGTCTATCGCTATAACAATAATGTTAACAGCATTGTTGTGTTTCAGCAGTTTGAGGTAGATAATACTCGATAGCCTGCCTTTTATGGTCGAGGATTCCGTAATTTCCGGATGAAGCTCGCTTCCTCCTTCGGGCTGATCATCACTTTCCATCAAGTAAGATAAGGTCAAGAATTTCCCCATTTTGTGGATAAAAACGTGTCTCGTGATTCTTTTACCCTACCAGCGCTTCGAGACTAATATTAGGCAAATGCTGAGAAGAAGCGCCGCAACAAACTAACCCCCTTACTAATAAAAAGTTACACAGTTGTTGAACACTGTTTTAAAATGACATTTCCATACTAAACGTCACTTTAAAACACTGTTCAACATGCGAGTAAGTTTTATTAGTAAGGGGGTTAGTTATCTGTGATAACTAAGTTTGTTGCGGAGTTTCTGTTCACTATCTGCCGGTTTCAACCAACAAAAAAAGAAGTACCTACACGTAAAACGTGCACATGCAAGAACGTATAGTCAACAGCAGGACGATGCAAATTAAAAGACGACCATTCCTACTGCTCTGACGACATGAGTCACTTGTGCGGTCTGTTCTACATATATCTTGAAGTATCAGGTTCCTGATCCGGGGACTGATGTCGCGAATTTTGTTGCGTAAGTCCCTCGTACGGCTTCTGATGCGCGAAAACGGCGATAGACTTAAGACTTATAGGACGGACGATCAATTTGANTAAATATATTTTCTTCCTCTTCTGTAAAAATAAAATAGTCGCGGTGGTATAATCCATAGACGGAGCTTTGCCTTCTGGGTTTACTTGATAAGCCTATTTCTTCTTAATATATCTTGACAAGTTTAGATTGTTAGAGGTCGCAGCGTATCTTAAACTTTAACCGTTTTTAACCTAATCACTTCATAAGCCAGATCCTATATTTCGACTCCAGCAAGCAGTTCCTCTATATGGCATTCATGTATAGTTATTAGGTATTCAGAATCAAAAAAGTAGCAGCAGGCAATTAAACAAATTATGAATCTACTAACACACAAATAAACATCTAAAAACATCGTGGAAATGGCCCATCAGAAAAATTAAGTAAACTAGGAGAGTTGTGACAGGCTGTCACAACTCTCCTAGGTGTTTAAAATGACGACTTGGTTCGAATAATATTTTTTATTTTCTAAACACGATGCGCACACAAAATATCAGTGCTACATTTTGAGACCTGAATAACCATGCAACTTGAGAAAAAATAACACAACAGTGCACATATACTAAAACATGATTTAAATTGAAATAAAATTTTGACGAAAAACTTACTTTTCGCATTTTTTTGTACACAGACGTCATATTTACGAAACCGTGCCTCGTGCACCGCCCGCAGGTACTTAGTCAAGAAGAGCGTCTTAAAAGCGACAAACAAGCATTTTTTCCAGCTTCCTAACTATATTAAGTAAGGAGAAATCGTCCTTGTCACAACTCACCTCTGTCACAACTCTCCTAGGTCTCCCCTAAGTTATAATAGTAAGGGGGTTAGTTATCAGTGATAACTAAGTTTGTTGTGGAGTTTCTGTTCACTATCTGCCGGTTTCAATCAACAAAAAAAGAAGTACCTACACGTAAAACGTGGACATGCAAGAACGCATAGTAAACAACAGGACGATGCAAATTAAAAGACGACCCTTCCTATTGCTCTGACGACATGAGTCACTTGTGCGGTCTGTTCTACATATATCTTGTAGTATCAGGTTCCTGATCCGCCGGCTGATGTCGCGAATTTTGTTGCGTAAGTCCCTCGTACGGCTTCTGATGCGCGAAAACGGCGATAGACTTAAGACTTATAGGACGGACGATCAATTTGATGAGGAAGTGAATACTACAACGAATAACCTTTTTACCGCGCCAAAGACGGTTATGTTTTTCGAGTGTATGCCGGCTTGATCGATTTCAGCGTGAGAGGTGTCGTAAGATTCATCTTTTATGAGAACCCAAAGACCACTGGGTAGGTATATTAATAAGGAAAAAAATATTGAAAAGATGCTGACAATAACAACATAAATTATAATATGAGGCGTTGTGATAAAGATGATGCAGAAACTAATTTCCGTTTTCACTATCAGTCCCTATTTTTTAAGTGACCCCTATGGTAACAAATAACACGAATTTACATAGGAGCTTACATAGGAGTCACTTAAAAAATAGCTCGGAAANAATTGATGGTGAAAACAGGCATAAGCCTCCGCCCACGGCTTTGCCCGCGTGCATTCCGCGAATTCACCAAAAATAGCTCGGAAAACAGTAGTTTAAAGCATTTAAAGTGACATTTAAATACTAAACCTCACTTTAAACAAGTGTTCAACTTTTATTAGTAAGGGAGTGAAAGTATAACCTTGATAAACTATGATTTTCACCACCATCAATTATTTTTGCGATAAAAGGTAGCAATGACCTGCTTCAATGTTCAATTACAATATAGCAAACATCAGCGGTTTAGGCACGGGCGTGAAAACGTAACACTCGCATAATGATTATTAATTAAATAATTAATGCTCACGCAACAAGGCTTCAGGGGAATTAGGTTTGGCGACGGTGTCAACGGTCTAAGCACATATTATGTAGGAGCTTAGGTGACAGATTTTGTTGGGGTTTCGGTAAAATACTTTCGTGGGTCCAATTCAACCTGATAAGGCATTCGATTTTTTTCAGAGTAGGTTCTCAAGTCGCCTTAACATTTTATTAAACGAAAACCACCTCAGGTAATCAATAAATTTCTCAAGTAAGAAACTCATCTTAATTACATGTACGAGTACTTTTAAAAGTGTTTTTATTCGCTTGACAAGCACATTTTACTTTTTTGGCAAACCGAAATTCACGAACAAAGCCGCGGGCAGAAACTAATCAAACTAAATCAATTTAAGCCAGACACAGAATGAGCACTTCACAAAATGAGCATTCGACTCAAAAGAAGCACTTCTTAAAATGTGCATTTCGCAAAACGTTAATTGCAATGTTCACTTTGCAAAATGTGTATTTCGAAAACCTGCGTACACAGCAGGGATGTTATGGATATCCGTAACCGTAACCGAAACTTTCGGATATCCGAAATAAAAAAATATCCGAAACCGTAACCGTAACCGATTCAAGTTTCGGATGTAGGCAGTTTAAATTGTTTTTGTATAGCATTATTATGTAAAGGCATAACAGCCTGATCGTCAATTTTTATTTTTTTATTACTTTTTATTCTATGTAAAGTGTGCGGCCATGAATGAACCGTGTTGGACAACTATTGCAAATTGCATTCTAAAGCACAGATATCCGTAACCGTAACCGAAACTTTCGGATATCCGAAATAAAAAAATATCCGTAACCGTAACTGAAACTACATATCCATCACATCTCTATCACAGCAATGAGTACCTAATCGCATACATTCGGGGCTCTTTAATTAGTGACAGTAGTACACTCGTTTGTTGACACTCTCCCCGGTGACGTCACCTGACCCGCGCTTGATAAAGCAGCACATATCGCCCGTCCTTTAACGACTTGACCTCTACTTTACGAGTTGATATACTTTGAATCCAAATATCACACCAATTTGCACCTATCTATATTTATAAGAGA